TGCGCAAAGGGGCTGCTGCGGCTGCCGAGGAGCTGCTGGAGGATCGCAGGCCCGACTCGCCCGCCCGCCCGCCGATCGCCCCGCTCGCCGCCCGCCTGCCCGCCTCGCCCGACCATGAAGTGGATGTTCAAGGAGGACCACGCGCTGGGTAAGCGGGCCGCGCCGTGAGGGAGGGGCGGGCGGGTAGGCGGGGCGGGCTCGGGGGCCTGACGCGGCTCTCCTGGCCTTCTCCGCAGAGCATCGGTGCGTGGAGTCCGCCAAGATCCGAGCCAAGTACCCCGACCGCGTCCCGGTGAGTCGGCGGAACGGGAAGCGGGCTTCGCTCGAGGGCAGAGGCCGCCCGGGGGCGCTCGAGGGGGCCCCGGCATGCCCAGGACGGGCGGCGGCCTTGTTATTTCCCGGAGGCTCCTCCCCGAGCCAGCCCCACGCCAGCGGCCCGCCAGGCTCTTCCCGGGAGGCGGAGGGCTCCGCAAGGACTGGCAGGCCCTTCTCTCCCAGGGAACGGGAGGCGCCAGGAGCCTTCCCCGGTGGGTCGTCCCTGGGAAGACTGGCGCGCCCGTGTTGCTCGTCTCCCCTCCCGGGCGCTTCCGTGACGGGGCTGAAGGAAGCGCTGAAGGGGCTGCTGGCCGAGATCAATTTCTTCCGTCTCGATGCAGGTGATCGTGGAAAAGGTGTCTGGATCCCAGATTGTGGACATCGACAAGAGGAAGTACCTGGTTCCCTCGGACATAACCGTGGCTCAGTTCATGTGGATCATCAGGAAGCGGATCCAGTTGCCCTCCGAGAAGGCCATATTTCTCTTTGTAGACAAGACGGTCCCCCAGTCGAGGTGAGGTTGCGTCTCTGTGTGTGAGGTTGTGTGGGTGTGTAGTAATAGGACAAAAGTCATCCTTTCGTTTCTGGAAATTGTGGAGTGGTCCTATAAAATCCACTTGGTAGTGGATGTAGCCACTTCCTAAAGTAGAACAGGCTTCTTCTCTCGATTGGCTAGGGCTAATGTTTCCTAGACGACATTCATGTTAAATTCTATTAATTATTTCACTACAATTAATCATGCTTGGTTCTGTTGTTTTGATGTCCCAATCCCTGTACAAAGTACTTATAGTGGAGACTCAACTATTAGCTCTAGCCAATATAGTGAGTGGCATAAGATTGTGGGAGCTGAGACACCAGGGTGGGATGTACACCGCTTGCTAATCCTTGTACTTGAAAATCAGATTAGGGTTAGAGGTTAATTTAAGGAAGCTGTTATCAAGTTTCCATTTTTATTCTACTGCACTATTTAATCCACTATACAGGACTTTCTTTTCTGTTACTTCCCTTTTTTTTTTCACTTTGCACCAAAGTACAAAAGAGCTAATTATGTCAAATTTCTGCTCTCTCTGGTTTCTCTACACGGTCAAGAGAAGACAATATTTATTGTGGGAAAAAGGTTAAGCCTTTTTATTTAATGGATTTGTTTAACAAGGTATCCAAATTCATACTTTCAAAGCTCATCCATCCACCCACCCCGTTTTCGATTTGCACATTCCAGTTTTGTTGGTGCGTGATGGCTTTCTTGCTTTTTCCCCTTACAGTTTAACCATGGGACAGCTTTATGAGAAGGAGAAGGATGAGGATGGCTTCTTGTACGTGGCTTACAGTGGAGAAAACACCTTTGGTTTCTGATTTCATTTCCATCCTGCTGCTTTGTAAATAGCCTCCTGTTCATCATGACCCCAAGGGGCATTTTTCATTTGTCACTGGGTTGATTTAATATATTGATAGATTTTTGTTTGTTAGCTTAGTAATTTATAAAATTTTATTTTTCCATTACACGTGTAACCATAGCTGTAAATTTCATTACATCCTTTGCGCTGGGACATATTTAATGGCATTATTCAAATACAGATGCAACCATAGATAAAGAATTAATGATGGGAGAGGGATTTTGAAATTAAATATTAGCATAATTAAGAATTAGAGTTTCATAGAAATGGCAGTTTCTGTAATACCCTAAGGATGCTGATATGTTTATCTTGGTTAGCGTGTTGCTTTTATTGAATTTTGCTTAAGAAGCAACAATTAAAGTTACTGTCACAAAAATTTTGCAATACTGCTATGTATTCAGGTTTCCTTTTTTTATAAAATAGCATTGTAAGATTAAGGGTACAAAAGACATTTTCAGACAGTACAAACTCATTCAGGGATACCCTAGAGAGATTGCAAAATTATTTTTACTTCCATAGGAGACAGAGAGGAATCTTTTTAAATTTGTAATGATTCAGCTGAATAGAGTCAATCATTTTACTCTAAATATAGTATCTCTGGGTGAAACTGTCCCTTATGTCAGGCAATTGGTTTCATTTGTGGTTATGTACCATCAAGTCATTATCATTCCTCGGCAACCTGATATTTTTTCTCCAATACGCCTTCTTTCAATATTTTTACTTCCATGGCGTCAAAAGAGAAGCCATTGCCTGCACAATTCTAATATTTTTAAGTATAGACACATCCCAGCATCTACCTATCTTTTCCAAGATCTTCATTTTACCCTACCAAGTACTAGTCTGCTATATTTCTTAACTGCCGATTCCTTTATAGTTGAAGCTGAAACTATTCAGTGTGTTTGCTATCCCTGTTGCCATTTGTAGTTAAAATTGTACTCATCTTTTCAGTATATATTCTATCTCAAGTTACACACATTTAAGTTTTACCCTTTCTTAACATATGTACACAACCACAGTTCCAAATTCTAATTAACTTTAGTGAACTTAATCCAAGCCCAAAGGAAAAGGTGGGAGCATCAAGTCACAGTTCACGTTTCAAAAAATCCAAATGCAAATCATCAACTGTTCTAGGCTCCAAGGAGCTTTCTCAGAGAAAGGCTGGCGATGATGATTTTTAAATGAAGCTTGTGTTGAGTGCAGGCAATCAGGAACAGGATTGCCCTTGCTGCGTGATGCGTCGTGTAGATCTTTCTTGGAAGCGCAGCACTCTTGGGTGGGAGGAAGTTTGGAATGGGGGTCTTCATCTTTTGCCGCCTAGTCGTCCTTGTCTCTAACTCAAACTGAAACCAGTCCGTTTTGCAATCTGGATTGTCATTTTCTACTCTCTGCGTAAGTTTCACATGAAGACACATGATATTATTCTGGAATTCCCATTTTCTTAAGGACATTCCACAGCTTGACTTAAGTTGACACAATTGCTCATCTTTCCATAATCATTGAAACCTATTGACGTTTCTTGGTTATTTTCTGACTTTCTCAATAATACTGTGTGCATCAGCAACAGTTTTTTTCCCTAGGGCCAGCTTGACATCTAGACTTTTTTTTCCATGCAGTACTCTAATCTGAATTCATGATTCTAAGTGTTAAGGAACTATAATAGTTTGCCCGCTTACTTAAGTCTTCTTTAATACTGATGTCAACCAACCTCGAACAATCTGTGGGCCACTGTGCTGATCTCCAGATTGGCTGATATGGTTTGGTTTTACTGGCTTCACTGATTATTCTTCTGTTGCTTGCTTTATTTCCAAACATATTCCATCAATTCTTGTAGCCTTCTGACTTGATAATTACTGCAATACTGATACAAGTTGATTTTCTACTACTAGGAGTTCTTGTACATAAGGATTATTTCTTAAGTACCTTGAATGTTGAGTCCTGCTGTACAGGAATACAATGTACACTCCGGTTTTCGTTTCATCTTCCTTAAATCTGTCACTATCTAACACCATTAGTATCCTTCTGCATATCACTTTGAGATTGGGACGGCTTCTGAGTTTGGAGGTTTTGGAGCACTTGTTTCATTTCATTTCATGTTGTTAGTGTCTTTAAAATTATCACAACTCTGAAATTTTCAGCCTCTTGATAAGTTCGGTGAACATCCCCTATTACAATCCCATGTTACTATCACAGTGGCAGTAAAATGGTACAGGATGGTACAATGGTGGTAACAGTTCATTAAGGCCCTGTCCAAAATTATATTCTAAAAACTGACTTGGGGAAAGAACAATCCAGGGAGTATATATTGAAGGGGTGGGGGCTGGGGGTTATTATTATTATTAGCTGTATATGCCTTCTTTCCAAATTCAGAATGTTCTGTCCTGTTTTCAGGATGGGGATGTATGTAGCCTCAAGAGAGTTTCATCAAAAATTGTGGATCAACAAAAATCCACCCTATATTTCCATACACGAACAGAATATAGAGACTCAGTCAACCAGAAAGGAAAGGGGTATATACTTTATTCCAAAATCTTCCCAGTGCGTTTTGGAGGAAAACAGTACCAAAAGCAC